GTACATGCATATATGGTGCTTCTGCTTTGTTTTATTTAGGGTTGTATAATTGTGATAGGGTTTCAGAAATGTGACCTATGCTACTCAAAAAAATAGAGAGGTGGAATCCTGTGGTTATCATTCCGTTCTTCAACGTCATAGATTTCGATTGAGAAAAAAATGATCGGACATTGTCCCACTTGGATTATATATCTAGACTAGATGAGGAAAGACCCGGGCCCAACATTACAGTCTTAAAATTATACATCCAAATTAGTTTCGCAAGTATTTTAACAGTAGGAACAATCGGCTACTTGATGAAAGTTAATACGAACAACATCATTCTTTACAATACGATAAAAGTGAAAAAAAATTATGGTTTTACTTCATGTCTTGTATACAACAAAATTAAGAGAAAGTTTTAGTACAATAAACAAAGAGAACTTCCAATGGGACTTGCATCCCTAAAGAGACAATTTACTATTTCAAACAAAGAGAACCAAAAGCACTGAACATATATTAACATGATATAAATTGTAGCAATTCAATATAGCAGTTCAAATTATATTTTATTATAACTCGTTAAAATGATGTTAACTGGTGATAAAATAATAAACATTTGATAGAAGTCGATATAAATTATAGGAATTTTAATTTTTTTTCTTAATTGAGGAGATAAGAGAAATGTTTTTATTTTTCTATAGACTTATCATATGTTAATATAATGAAACAATATAAAATTATAGTAAATAATGTTTTAAGACAATTTATTGACAGTTGAAAACTTATCATGGAAGAATGGAGTTCAAACCATATAGATTAAATTTTCACATCAACTAAGCATATAAGAGATAGCCTGCTAATACAGTATGGATAAACCCCATCACTTAAATTAACTTTTGAGGTTTAACAAACTATTGAATATGATTTATTTATTTTAGTTTGAAATCGCTTTCAAACAGTGTGGATGGATGAAAATCTTTTAATTTTAATTTTTAAATTGCTTTAAAACTGTATGGGTAAATATAAAAATCTTGTATATATTTATCGATATTTCTTTTTGTTGCTCTATTATTTAAAGATAATTTTAGTTTCTATGTGGAAACTTCTAGTTGACTAAACAAAAATTAATATTTAACCAAATGAGAAAAGGAACGTTCCAAATGAGTATTTGCTTGCAATACTCTTCGCAAAAGTAGCCTAATCAATAGTACATTTAAAGTAGTATTTTGTTTAGGGAAATGTGGGGTCCACGTATATCAATGACATTTTGTATTTTAGAAGTACAAACAATGCATGAATTTTTCTGAAATGACATATATACCCTTGGTTGACCATCTTTCTTTTTCTATATAATAGAAAATTCCCAGCAAAAAGTTTTATTGTGTGCTGCCTTTTTTTATCTCACATGTTTGTGAACTCATATCTTATCTTACACTTTTAGGTCTATACAATTTTAGGTCCACAAAATTGTGAGATAAAAAAAAGGTCTCACACGACTAGTGTGAAGCATAAAATAATTCTTTTTTCGTTAATGAATTCTGTTACCATTATCTGACTATGGATGAAGACGATTGTTAAAATAAATTAGACATTGTATTGGCATCAAAACTTCAAAGCACAATTTTTGTTTAGTAGTAGCTATAATGACAACAACGCCAAAAGAACTTTCCATTAGAATAAGTTTGGAAAAACGATACTGTATAACCGTTTTAAAAATAATAGTCGATTTTTTTTATAAAATTTATATATTTTTTATATATATATACATTTTGTATGTTATATACAAAATTATACAAGTTTTATACACTTTTTCGACTATCAGATGTAAATAGTTTCTTGCGCGGGCTAAAAGTTATAATACACCACTCCGTAAACGTCTCACAAGAATCGGATTCAATTCTTCTCTATAAAAGTACATATCTGGTCTTATAATCTTGAACTTATATTAATATTCATGCACAAAAGTAGTAAATTATTGCTTACTAAAATATGACAACAATGAATTGTTAATAGTTTTTATGCACTTAATCTAGCCATTGAATACTCATTTAGGGTGTGTTTGGCATTAACGTAAATTGTTTCAGGAAAATATTCTATGTAAGGATTTTTTTTGTGTGTTTGGTTACTGTATAGGTCCAAATTTGGACGACCACGACCATTGCTGACTGCGGCGAGGAACGGGGTCCTTACGGTATAGCGTCCTTTGGTCGTTATAAAGGGTGACGACCAACAGTGGTTAAAACGAACGCACGACGTCTGCAGTAGTGTTAGCATAGTAGGAGACAGTAGGAATATGCTTTTCGAATATTCTTTGTGTTGTACCTTTTTCAGGGTTTGAAAGGGAATTGCCCCTTATAAATAGGAGGAAAAGGCTCTGTAAAAAGAGGGTGGAGAAAGTGAATAGAAAAAGAGACAACTTTGCTTACTGAAGACAAATCTGAAATCCTTACATCATCTTATCTTGGTCAATCGCATTCATTACAACATTTTTTCACATTTGAAGTTATCATATTTATGAGTAATCATTTGGTTCCGATATACAAGGAAGCATCGATCATCTTGTCTTTCTCTTACATCATTTAATCTAGATTTTATTATACTTGGCTGGGATTTACCTCTTCATCTTTATTGATTGATCTAACCAAAAAGGTTTTCAATATCTTTTGGTCAAATAATTTGACGCCGTCTGTGGGGATTTCTTCAGCCATGGTCTTAGTTTCATCTAGATCTTAAAAAGGGATAGTCACATCTTCCTAGCTTTGCACAAATTAACAATGGCAGGGAAGAAGATGCTTGGCAAAAAGCAATAGTAGGTGTCACAACAAACCTCCTGGACACCATCAATGAAGACAGCAGAGAAAATAACGAAAACGGGACCCCAAACACTACACCCAGGGGAGACGCTTCACCTCCCCCGCACGAAAGCGTAACTGCTTCACGCGAGAAGGAAGCATCCACATCTATAACAGGAGAGGCACCGCCGGCAGTGAGAAGACTGCTGGAAGAATGGCAAGCACTCTGAACAACATACTTGATAAACCCGCCCAAAGGGATAACAGAAATATTGCACATGTAGATATCACGACGATCGCTGATGAGCAAGGTATCCCCCGTACAGGTAACACTCATATTGCTGATGACGCAGGTAATGACACGCTCGCAGCCATTTCAAAGAAAATGAAGAGATGGAAAATGAGAACAGGGCACTCTGTGACCAGATGAAGGAGAACCAAGAGAGGGTTGACAAAATACCGGGCGCCCCAAAGTTGTTGCCAAAACGGGACGTCGGTCGATTCATCGAGCAACCATACAATGAAGAAGCGGCCCCCTACGCCATTCCAAAGCCCTTCAAAATGCCACCTTACCTAAAGATATACGACGGTACCACCGATCCAGAAGATCATATCATCTAATACGTTACAGCCGTAAAAGGTAACGATCTTTCGAAAGAACAGGTACCATCGGTGCTATTAAAAAAGTTCGGCGAAACCCTAACAGGGGGAGCCCTGACCTGGTACTCCCAACTACCGGCGCAATCGATAGCAACGTTTGAAGAAATGACAGACAAGTTTGTCACCGCCCATGTAGGGGCCAAAAAGGTAGAAGCCAGAGTAAATGACATATTTGCCGTTAGGCAGATGCACAGCGAGGGACTCAGGGACTTCTTAGCTCGGTTCAATAGGGTAAGAATGAGCTTGCCAAATGTGCTAGAGAGGATGGCGGTAGCAGCCTTCCAGATCGGACTAAACAGGAACGGGTCGAGAGCGACCAGAAAATTATTAAGCAGGCTCATGAAATACCCTCCAACCACTTGGGAAGAAATCCACAACGCATACTACGTTGAAGTAAAAGCCGATGAGGATGACCTCAACGGTCCGATACAATGGTTGACGTCAGTTCAAATCGAAGCAAGGAGAGATCGTCGCAACGATGGTCGAAGAGATCATTCGGGACCCCGTCTCCGATGAGAAAGGCATCAACCCTACATCACGACATCTATCCCACCTCCTCCACGGCACACAGATGCTCCTTCTCGACATGCAGCGCCACATCGACATGAAAAAGGTATGCCTCCGCTCCTATCTGCTCATAATTTTTGTGTCTCTCCTTCAGAAATAGTGTACGCACTGGAGAAACTCCGTACCAAGGTACAATGGCTGCAAAAGATGAAGTCCGACCCAAGCACTCGAAAATCGAACGCCCTCTGCGAATTCCACCAGGAAAGGGGTCACAAAATCGAAGATTGCATAGGACTACGGCAGGAGGTAGTGAGAATGCTAAATCACGGACACCTGAAGGAATTGCTGAGCAATCGAGGACGGGCTAACTTTGCCCGTGGACGTGAACAACCCCAGGGAACTCCAAAATCGCCTTCTCCCGCTCGCACTATACAGATGATCATCGGCGGGGGCGACGACACAACAATCAATCATGTGAAGTTCACCACCACACATAAACTCAAACGGTCGATTACTCATGAACGATACGATGACCTCGAAGATAGTATCGTCTTCGATAAGTCAGATATCGACGGCTTGTCTTTCCCTCATTATGATGCTCTTGTTATCACTTTACGTATTGCAGATACTGATGTAAAAAGAATAATGGTAGACGACGGGAGCAGCGCATGTATTATCCATCCTCGAGTCCTCGTACAGATGAGACTCGAAGATAAAATAATACAGCATTGTATAACACTAACAGGTTTTAATAATGCAGTCGAGCGGACTTCTGGAGAGCTAGTGCTACTCGTCCTAGCTGGAGGAGTCACCCTGGAAATGACGTTTCACGTCATGGACCAAGATACAGCCTACAACGCCATCATAGGGCGCCCGTGGATACACGCCATGCGAGCAGTCCCGTCCAGTCTCTATCAAGTAATCAAGTTTCTTACCTCATGGGGAGTATTCAGCATCCGGGGCGAACAACACACCGCACAGGAATGCTATCGCATCGCCCATGATTGCACCCACACCCAACAGCTAAAAGGGGCAAGTGCGGAAGCTTAGCAATCAGCAATGTCGGGAATCAAGCTTCACGAACGAACAGACGTTATCAAAGGTCCCGACATCGTGGAAGCATCCGAGTCGAAAATAGAGGATCTCGACCGCATCCTACTAGACGGCAACGACAACACGAAAAAGGCTTATATCGGGCACAACCTCTCGGAACCAGGTAAGTTTCATAAATTTTTACCTGACAATGCCGATCTGTTTGCCTTCTCCCATGCAGATATGCCAGGTATCCGGAAGGACATCGCCACGCACAAACTGAATGTTGACCCCCTCTACCCGCTAGTGCAGCAAATAAGGAGGAAGTTCAACGCTGCAATCAACGATGTCGTCAGCAAAGAAGTCGACAAGTTGCTCGCAAACGGCTCCATCCGAGAGTCAAAATATCCCCAGTGGGTCGCCAATGTGGTCATGGTAAAGAAGAAAAACGGAAAGTGGCGGATGTGTGTAGATTTAATAGATCTAAACAAGGCCTGCCCAAAAGACTCCTTTCCATTGCCAAACATCGACCAACTCATCGACGCAATAGCAGGACACGAGTTGCAAAGCTTCTTGGATGCCTACTCGAGTTACAACCAGATCCTCATGGAGGAAGAATACCAGGAGAAAACTACTTTCATCACTCACCAAGGAACATACTGCTATAAGGTCATGCCGTTCGGACTAAAAAACGCAGGAGCGACGTATCAGAGATTGGTCACCAAGATGTTCAAAGACCAACTCGGCAAAACAATGGAAGTCTACATCGACGACATGCTGGTTAAGTCTAAGAGGAAAGAAGATCATATCAATCATCTGAAAGAAGCCTTCGACATATTCAGGCAGTACGACATGAAATTAAACCCCGAAAAATGCACTTTCGGCGTAACCTCGGGCAAGTTCCTCAATTTCCTTGTATCGCAAAGAGGCATCGAGGTCAACCCAGATCAGATTAAGGCCATCAAAGGAATACCGGAAATGTTAACCGTAAAAAACAGGTACAAAAACTGACAGGTCGGATAGCTGCCCTGTCAAGATTCATCTCAAGATCGTCAGATAGGTGTCATAAGTTTTTCAGTGTGCTGAAGAAAGACAACGGGCTCCAGTGGAATTCGGAGTGTGTCGATGCCCTGAGAAAACTGAAAACCTATTTGTCCTCACCACCGCAACTTGCCAAGGCAGAACCGGGTGAATGCCTCCTTGTCTATCTAGCCGTCTCCGAAGTCGCGGTAAGCGCAGTTTTGGTCTGTGAGAGCAAAGGTACGCAATCTCCGATTTACTATATCAACAAAACTTTAGTTGACGCTGAAATGAGGTATCCCCACGTCGAAAAATTGGCTCTGGCATTGGTCGTAGCTTCACGAGACCTTAGACCATATTTTTAGTGTCACCCATAAAAGTGGTGACAACTTTTCCCCTCAAGAGCATCCTGCATAGACCCGAGCTGTCGGGAAGATTGGGCAAATGGGCCATAGAATTGAGCGAACACGATATAACATATCAACTGCAAACTGCGATAAAATCACAATTACTCGCCGACTTCAGTGCGGAAATACTGTCGGAGGTCAAACAAGAAGCGCTTCGCGCTTCTCCTGGGCGACACGACCTTTGGGTCCTCTACACCGACGGCGCATCCAATGCGTCGGGATCTGGGCTGGGACTCGTACTCAAAGTCCCAATGGGCGAAGTGATTCACCACTCCATACGGTGCCCTGAAATGACTAACAATGAGGCCGAGTATGAGGCCGTAATTGCAGGACTGAAATTGGCCCTCAAATATGGTGCACGACGAGTCGTCCTCCACTGTGACTCTCAAATTCTCGTAAACCAAGTTACTGGGACTTTCCAGATCAAGGAGCAGAGGCTACAGAAATACCAGACCGAAATCCACAAGATGCTACCAAAATTCGATGATTGCCGATTCGACCAAATACCACGAGCGCAAAATATCAAAGCAGACGATCTCGCCAAGCTGGCAGCAGCAACTAAAAACATCACCAAGGAGAATGTGGTCACCCCCCTCCACTCATCAATAGACCAAGTCGAGGTACATTCTATAAATTTAACTTGGGATTGGCGCAACCACATTATATCATATTTGCAGGAGGGAACACTCCCACAAGATAAAAAAGAAGCCAAGAAGCTTCGAATACAAACAGCCAGGTACAGCCTCATAAACCACGACCTTTATAAAAGGACGTTCGGCGATCCCTTGGCCAAATGCCTCGGACCAAATCAAACAAAGCGTGTGCTTGAAGAGGTACATGAGGGCCACTGCGGCGCCCATACAGGTAACCGAGCCCTCGTCAGATGTCTTATTCGTGTAGGATACTACTGGCCCACTATGAAAAAAGAGGCCGCAGACTACGTCAAGAAATGTGAGCAATGCCAAAAATACGCCCCTATGATACACCAGGCGGGCGAACTACTGCACTCCATTACTTCTCCATGGCCGTTCATAAAATGGGGGATGGATATTGTCGGACCCCTCCCAGCAGGGCGAGGTATGATCCGCTTCCTTTTGGTTTTAGCTGATTACATTTCCAAATGGGTAGAAGCAGGTGCGTTCGCTCAAATACGCGAACAGGAAGTCATCGCGTTCATCTGGAAAAACATCATATACCGATTCGGCATCCCCAAAGAAATCAGTTGCGACAACGGACCTCAGTTCACCGTGAAAAAGACGACTGAATTCTTTGTAAAATGGCATATCAAGCGGATACTCTTCATAACATATCACCCCGTCGAAAACGGTCAAGTAGAATCCTCCAACAAGACAATATTAAATATATTAAAGAAAAAGCTCGAGGACGCCAAAGGGCTATGGCCGGAACTGCTACAAGAAGTGTTATGGGCCTATCGCACAACGCCAAAAACTAGCACGGGTGAAACACCGTATTCACTGGTTTACGGTACCGACGCAGTCATACCCGTCGAGGTCGGTGAACCTAGCCTGAGGTACTCCAATGAGAGTGGGCCCGAGGAATGATGAAAACAAAATACAAGACCTGGACGAGGTTGAAGAACGAAGGGACATGGCTCACATAAGAATGATAGCCCAAAAACAACAAGCAGAAAGGTATTACAACAAGAAGGCCAAAGTACGACCCCTCAGAGTCGGAGACTACGTCCTCAAAGCCAGAACACAGGCAACAAAAGACCCGAACGAAGGAAAATTGGGAACGAATTGGGACGGGCCATACAAAATCACAGCAGCAGCAAGCAAAAGAGCGTTCCAGTTGGAAACAATGGAAGGAAAGCTACTACAAAACAACTGGAATGTCGCCCACCTCAAATATTTCCACTTCTAAGAAACGACGCCATCCAGGTCGCACTCTTATTCCCTCACCCGAGTTTTGTCCCAATCGGGTTTTCTCAGGGAGGTTTTTAACGAGGCGACAAGGGAGACGTCTTAATGTTCAAAGTATAATTCATCGCCCAGCCTGCCGATAGCATCTCTAGGCCGAGCAATGAAGGGACTAGATACAAGAATGTTAGTCTGTTGAATGTACGAAATCGATATGTATCTCCAATATGCGAATGAAATTACTCCAATAAATGTATGAAATCGACAAGTATCTCCAATGTATGAATGAAACAGGCACACAAAACACCCCATGGCTAAGGCCGTTGCCAGAAAAGAGTTCGACTTCACTCGAACCACGACGGGTTAACATTTCGATGCAGTCGAAATAACACCCATGGCTAAGGCCATCGCCACGAAAGAGTTCGACTTCACTCGAACCACGACGGGTTAACATTTCGACACAGTCGAAATAACACCCATGGCTAAGGCCATCGCCACGAAAGAGTTCGACTTCACTCGAACCACGACGGGTTAACATTTTGACACAGTCGAAATAACACCCATGGCTAAGGCCATCGCCACGAAAGAGTTCGACATTGGTAAACTACGACGAGATACTACTTCGGCATCGCTTGAAAGTAACATCCCTACGACCAAGGTCGTTGCTAATGAAAAAAGTTCAAATTAAACTCACAACACAACGGGGTTGACATTTCAACAAAGATTCAGAATAACATGACTACATCAAAGGTCATCATCGAACAAATCGAAAAAAGGAAACAACTCAGAGGTACACGACCAAAATTTTCATTACAGCAAATATATTACAAAGTGCTTGTTTTCTTTACAACGGGCTCAAAGATGCCCTCACAAAAATGGCGAAGCAAAAGTAAATACAACCAAATACTACGCCACAGCATTCCCTGTGGCATACACCTCCTCGTACCAAGAATCACAGCCAAGTTTTTCCGCATCATCAGAATTAATATCATCCCCGCCAGGCGTAATGGGGTCATACCCGCATGCCTCACGAGCTGCACGGGCCTTGGCATGCACATCCCGAAGCTCTGCCTCGGACGCCCTCCCGTCAGCATGGAGAGCCTTATACACATCGAGCCGGGCTTCACATGAACCCACAGTTCATACAAATGGCGAGGCACGACAGGATCAGCCGATGCATGGGATCTAGAGGGCTGCGACTAACGTCGCACGTCCTCCGTTTTCAAAGAAGCCACCTGTTCATTTAACGCGGACAATTCCGCCTCCAAAACTTGAATACGCCCCTCAATTCCCGCTACCTCATGCGCAGACACCTCCACCTCCTTATCCCGCTCTAATTTACAAATACGGAGGGCATCTTCTAAAGCCGCTACCTCAGAGACGGCAGTGGCCCTATCCCTTTCAGCGTGGGCCAATCCATCACCATTTGCGCTTAATTCACTCTTAAGGTCAACAACCTCCACTGCCTTCGTGTCTAGTTCGATAGTTAAATAGGCCACCTTTGCTTGGAGGTAGGCGTTCTCATCCATCACTCCCTTGTTTAACTCAAGCTCATCTTCCCTGACCTTAAGTGTCGATGCCCCCTTTTCTCGCGAAAGGCGAAATCGGGTTTACAATATTTGGGAGGACAACTCTTTTCCCTTTTGGGATTTGGGTTTTGTTTTGGAATTTGAAGAGTCGCCACCTAATGATTAAGTGCATTAGGACACAAAAAAAAGGTTTTTGAGTTTGAAAACCAGAGTTTGGGTAAGGGCTAGAAATTATCTCGAGGGGAAGGTGTTAGGCACCCCCCAAGATCCACTAGTGTGGTTCCCGGCCATGTTACAATTGTGACTTCACTTAACAAGTAAGCAAATAAGGGTTCAAATAGAGGGAGGTTTCACATAATATTGCAAGTAAAATGGAAATTTGAGGAGAGATAAAGAGGGCAGAAATTTCAAGAAAAGATTTAAGCAATAAATGAAAAAAAAACAAATAAAGGGAAGGGGGGGTCCTAGGTTTATAGTTAATATGGATCACCCCACACAACACCCGGTAACCATTTATACACGTGGTGTTATCGCGTGGTCATCATATCCATATTCTACCCTTCCCACCCCATAAAGGTTATTAAATGCGTGAGTTGGTCACGAATACTTATTGCGTGCTATTACCCATCCCGTCCTATAAGTCCTGGAGGGTATTTAGGACCACTATTTCTATGTGGTGGGGCCTAGGCTGAACCCTTAAGTTTAGGTAAAAATGCTAAGCAACATACATAACAAATAGGACTGCACATAAGGGGAACATACAAAGGCACATAGAGGCTCACAGATCCCTCCACAAGTGAGCTCATAATAAGCACGTCTCAAACTCATTTAAGGTCTAAAAGACAAGAGTTTTAAAAGCCGGAATGTTGAAATAAAATAGTGAGTTTCAATGAAAGCAGAAGCTTAATTAAGACTAAGTGATTTGGAAAAATGCTCGATTTTTAGAAATACGACTTGGGACAGTAGTAGGATTTAAAAGTATACAACAGTTTAGGAGTTAGTGAAAATATAGATAAAGTCGTTAAAACATTCTTTGTAAATAGAGTAAAGACATGGAGTTACATTATCTTGACGAGACGTAGGATAAATATTTTGAAAATAGTAGCACGATTCTGGGCAGAAAAGGGTAACCTAGTAGAAAACATAGTAGTACAGATACACAATTTCGAAATCAATTCAAAGTAGGGCGAGAGTTTAGTAAAATAGAGTGAAATTCATAGAATCAAAAATAAGAATGGGAGCAGCAGAGTTCAAAATTAAAAGAGGCTAATTAGCCTTAAACTGGTAACCACATGATTAATCAATTCTTATTAGGCCTAATGTTTGCCTAGGTGTCATATACATTGTCTGATTGTCTTAAAGAGTGGACATGCATATTTGATTCTGATTTAAAAAGAAAGGATACGTATAGTACTTGTATTATTGGATTAAGCATGCTAATAGGCGTTTTGACAATTGCAATCCAGATAAGTATAAAACTCTAAGCAGCAGGATGTCTAATGCACAGAAGAGTTCCTAAAACATGATCTCTACTATGCCAATGCAGTAATGACGATTTGTTAATAATTAAGATTACGAAGTGAGTACAATAATATGCTGATAATAAAAGACCTAAAACAGGATTTCTAACATATGAAATGCATGTCCTAAGCAGGTTATCTATTGCGCAAATAGGTAAATAAAAAACCTATAAACATGTTTTCTACCTATAGAAATAAACATGCATACCCCTCCCCATATTCACTATTCAGCCCCCAATCATTCATTTACAAATTATTACAAACCAGTAGTGTCTGAATTACAGTAATGAAATAAAAAAAATAATTAATTATTTTATAGGGAGCCTTCAGTAGGCCCAAATCCTCCAAACTTTACTACCAAAATAGCCTTTCATAGCTTGGGTGTGCCAAAGTATCCTAAGGACCTCGAGGGCTCCTGGGCCATGCTCACGCCCAGACTTAGTAACTAGGAGTTAAACATGTGCAGTGTGGAAATGCCAACCTCAGTGGGTCAGAGTTCAGAGGGTACTCAGGAGGTCCCCAAAGCAATGCTCACACTGAGGGGGTGGAACTTAAGTATCCAGGAATAAAGTGAAGTGCAAGAGAGTTCGAAAATGTTTTGACAGAAATAGTGTTGAAAGGAATTTCACTTAAAATATTTCGTAAAACAAAGAGAGTCTGTTTAGTCAAACAGTTTTTTTTTGAAAAGAGAATAAAGTAATAAGCAACAACCTAGACAGAACACCTCCAAAAATAGATTCATACATAGCCAAAGACCACAGAACCAAGGCAGGTCCAGCAAACACAAATAGGGATAGTGGGGTTAGGGACACATAGGACAAAACATATAACCCAGCAAAGGTCTAAGACTAGCTCAAGCATGTTTAGAAATAGCCATCAATGGCATAGTAAGAGAAAAAAAATAGATATGAAGAACAACCACATAGAGGGGTGATAGGGATTTGGGATAAGTATGCAAGTCATGCTTGGAAACACACATAAAGGGGGTATACTAATCCAAAGGGAAGGGAAGACGTAATAACATGCTAGTAATACATTTTAATTACAAATTTTGCAGGAGAACCACAAATAGAAGCAGACTAAAGATAGAAAGAACTGAAACAAATAGAGAAGCACATTGTTGTTGGAGCTTTGAATTGAAACTAGGACATACCAGTAAGAGAGCAAGAGCAGGATGCAAAGACAAAGTGATAACGCAATATTAGCATTGGCTTACAGCTGGCTAATAATAGGCAAGAGCAGACAAACAACAATAGAGCAAAAGAGCAAGAGAGAAAGAGCACAAGAGAATGTAGAATTGAGAGTATTCAGTGATGTGTGTCTCTGTTTTTGCTAATGAAAGAGTAGAGTATTTATAGTTCTGGAAACGAGTAGAAAAAAGTAAGGTAAGAAGTAAAGTGTAGTATAATTATAGAAGTAAATACAATCAGAATCCCAATCAATGTAAGTACTCCCCTTTATATGGGGAGTCCTAGTTCAAAGGGCTACCAGGGTGACAAATAAGGAAAGAGACTAATTGAAAGACTAATTTCAATCATACATAGAGTAGTAAAGAATAAGGAGTGTGATTAGGACCAAGTACAGAACATATGAATTAAGGAAAGTAAGAATCAATTGGCGACATGCTTGCACA